GTAGTATAAACTGTCTTTGACCGGGTCTTTCATTACTGGGAATTTTTGCTGTTCAGTTGGAACAGTTTAAGTTTAAAGTCAGTCCACCCGAAAATCAATATTAGTAACAACATTAGGGTGCAACTGAGGAACATCCCCAAATGGGGTGGGGTTTTACAATTTGTATGGGTGGTTCCCTGAAAAGGGAACCGTGTAATAATAAATAATATTTTTATAATAATTTAAACTATTTATTTTTATTCAAGTTTTTATGAAAGATATATATCCAAGAACAGATAGTAAATAGTAAAACGTTGCCGAGAGTTGTAATGGACAGGAAGTAGTGGAGAGCCATTGTCGCCAACAATTTGGACTCAAAACCGGGATTGAAGAATTATGTATCAAACAAAAAAAAATTCATCGAAATCGGGTGAAAACTGTGGAAATGCATAAACAACATCCGATCACACACACACACACACATACACACACACATTTTGAGAATTATAGATCTGTTTATATATGTCTATTTATTTGTTTATCTCTGTTTATATCCATTTATCTAAAGGTTGCGATGGTTAAATTGTCGTTTAAATTAAGCAGAAATGAAAATAAGACTGACATCTCATTTTAACAGACATATTTACCAAAATTACACAAAGATATCTTGAAATACTAAAGAGTAAATTTATTCCATAAAATCGCCATTAGCTTCAACCACAGCCTCCAGACGCGTTCGAAATCTCTTGCAACTCTTGGAGGAAGTCTCCTTGTTTAAGTGGGTGAATGCTGCCATAATTCTTGCCTTCAGTTCATCTTTGGTATTATAAGGAGTTTTGTTGGATTCTCGATCAACAGCGTCCCACACATAATAATAATCAAAGTGGTTGCAGTCTGGGGAATTAGGTGACAAAAAGACACACACACACACACACACACACACACACACACACACACACACACACACACACACACACACACACACATATATGTGTATGCGTGTGTGTGTATTAAATTGTCGTCGTAATGACGCAAAAATGAAAATTAAAGTGACATCTCATTTTAACAGATATGTTTACGAAAATTACACATAACTTGAAATATTAAAGAGTAAAATTATTCAATACAATCGCCATTAACTTCAACCACGGAATCTTTATCACATAGCTTGGGAAATTTGACACTCACAGGGCATATTGAAAGCAAGAGAAACAGAAAGTAACCGAGTATCATATCTAACGAGTTTGTGTGAATGGATGATAGAACAGGGAGGGTAAGGCATAGTGTAAAGACATACATTACTAAGAGCTACAGAAGAAGCTGTGGAGAGTTATGATCGCAAACGTCCTGAAGGGATACGGCATATAGAAAAGAAGATAGTGTTAAGTACCTTCTTTTTTCAAGGTTAGTTATAAAGATTTTTTTTTTATTTGTGCAGACAATATGACCTATATAGATAACGGCAAGACGTGTTATCTTAACCGACAAAAGAAACACTAGATCTGAAATAGGAATAATGGTAAGTTTAAGTGGATGTTATTTATTCGTGTGTCGGCTGTCCGATAAAAAAAAAAAAATCGGTCAGTATCGATTTCGGTCTAAGACAGGGGAAATCAATCAAAATGTTAGAATATGATCGAATGTTTCATTTATGAGTGCACGCGCATACTTCGAGCTGCGTAAGATTTGAAATATGTAAGTTAATGCGGGTTTAGAAGAAAAAAAAACTTTCGCATGAGTTGAGTGAGCTATGCATGCAAGACTGTCTTCATTTATCAGTTCAAATACGATTACGTGGGCTAACAATGAAGAAAATGAATTCAGTAAATATATACAAATAGAAAGGAGTGTAAGACAAGGAGGCGTCTTCTCACCGGACTTGTTCAACCTATACAGGCGATTCTGAGAAAATTTCGAAGTTTTACCAGGATTCGTTATGGGCTGCACAATTTTTTTTCAATCATTTCACCTGAAGCAAGGAAGTAAAACCACTAAGACGTAGGGAAGGTTATTAAATAGAATAATCAAACGAAAGTTGGTAATGGACGATAATACTTAAGACACGAACAACACATATAAGATTCGCCAGCGGTGCGTAGAAGTAGTCAACTTCTAGAAGTGAGTCAAGTAAATTCCACAATGAATCTCCAATTGCAGGACATCTACCAACCGACCCAGATGTGACACAAGGCCGAATTCAATGTGGGGTATCCAAGCCCATAAGTTTAGCCCAAAATTCCCTGTAGACCCTGTATAAAAAGGGGTCGTATAGCTGTTTCCCGAGACGAGACACTGCTCTTCGACATAGCCTTGTCTGGGGATCCTCTCTGCCTGAAGGCAGAGAGTTCGACCAGCACAACTGGAGACGAATCTCCAACTGTAGGATATCTATCAACCGCCCCACGCGGTCAGATGTGGTGTAAGGCCGAATTTAATGTGGGGTGTCCGAGCCCGTAGGCTCGGGCAAAATTTCCCGTAGACTCCGTATAAAACTAAACAGGACAGCCTGCAAACGGTAAGTTACCCACAATTGTCTTTCGTGGCGCGAAAAATCTTTTGATTTCTTATTGACCAGTAAGACACGGTTGTACTCTTTAATGCTCATCAGTTCGGGGATGTCTGTCAAGAGAACCGCACCCCCTTAATAAACTGGGAATAAATTATTCCGATCCACAATTCCGAGATTTCAATACTGTATCGGTCTTCTTCCTAGAGGAAGAACTTCTGAAGTATTCAATTTTTTTATGGCCGTGATTCCATCTTGAAAGATTTTTTTTTTCAAAAAAGAAACTACTTTTTTGCTTTGCCTTCTTTAAAAAAAAAAAAATAAATTAAAAAACGAATTGAATTTTTTCACAAAGTAAGTGTTTGACAATGAAAGATTAAGGTAAAATTTTTAAAAATACAAAAGTTAACAATTAAAAATTAAATAAAAGTTTAAAAATTAAATATTAACACAAACTAAAATAAAACTGAAACAGGATAAGCAAATAAAAACGTAAGACAAAAACGTCGATTAACATTATTAGTGTGTTAGACAGTTAAAAAAAAGTCTTCACCATACAATGTAAGCGAAGAACGAAAGCAGATGGATGTGAAGAGAGGACGGGAAATAAAAAAAATAACAAAAAATAAATAAATAAAATGAAAAATCTCAATAAAATTTAATTAAATTAAAAGGGTCACAAGAATATGGAAAAATAAATTCTAACAAATAAAATGTCATTTATAGAAATTCAAAACGACGATTTTTTAAAGGATGATCATTTTTCTAAATTTTCTTCTTGTTCAAAATCTAGAATTAAAAAAACAAATAAAATGTCGAAACAGAAAAGAGGAAAATAAATATCTTGGTCAAAATGGCTGTTAGGACTGAAAATAAGAAAAAAAACAAAAAAAAAAAAACAAAAAAAAACTCAAAAATGCAGTGTAACGAATTAACTTAAAATAAGAAACTCTTAGTTTTCAAGAAAAAGTTCAGCACGGCAGCGAACAAAACGTAATTCAACCGCTGTCATTATCAGTGACAAAAGTGGCATGAAAAGAGAAAAAACAAATTGTTTAATATATATGCATTTGTAGCAGAAAAAACACAACTTACACATAATTGGAGATAAATTAAAACGAAATTTATACAATTATTAGAAAACTTAAATATCTCAGTACCCACCAATTTTCGTCTAGCTAAATCACAAATATACCAGAGTGCTGGCCATTATCGACGCGACTCTCGCTTACCACAGACGTCTACAACTACGTCTGTGCCTTTCTCTTATATAGGCCATAAGAGAAGCCGGACAGGGCAGAGAGAGTAGAGAGCAGTGATTAAGAGAGAGAGAGAGAGAGAGAGAGAGAGAGAGAGAGGGGGGAGGGAGGGAGGGAGAATTCACACACTCAAGATAACAATAGTGATTGGGAAAATGATCTCCTGCGAACACAGAAAGAGAAGAGACTTCTCTCAACGCGACAAGCCCAAACCGATAGCCAATAAGCAGTCAGCCAGTATAAGCAGACTCCTTTTTCACGCTCTCATTTCACACTTCATACACTGTACATTCGAACGCTACACTATACAACTTACCAGAGACATTTTTTTATCTTGTAAATGAAAATAAATATTTTGCTATTTCTCCAAACAAGTGTCTAATTCGTTTCTTTACCCCATCTACCTTCCACCCTCGGATCACATTTAACGTCCAGAAAAGAGGCATGGCCAATATTCAACCAAAACAGACTTGCTTCCCTTATTTGGGCATGTGCTATGGGAATAGTAGGAGGCGCCTAGTGTTTTTTCTTTCTTTCTTCCTCCTTTCCTTTTCTTCCGCTTCAGAAAAAATACATCAATTTCGTCGTCTGCTGATTTATTTTTAATCAATATTTTTAAAAAGATAACAATATCTTTAAAGCTTAGTGATTAGCAGGGTGTAGAAAATCATGGCTTTCCTGAACTTCATATCTTTTGCAGATCTTTGTCTTTTCCCACTCCCTATTCTGCGATCAATTTGCTAAAACTCATTTGGTGGGTCACTCGCCGCTTCTCTCTATCCGTCTTGCCTCTAATATGTCCTGTGAGCATCAAATCCCCTAATCTCTCTTTCCGCATTATGCTTCCTAGAAAATTTCAACTGTTTCTTTTTGATTCTCAGTATAAGTGTCCTTTTTATTTCTTTTTTTCTTTAAAATTTCGTTGTAAATCACATGTTCATTCAATGGTATTCACATCTTTCTGCAGAACAACATTTCTGTTGCCTCAAGTTTCTTCTTCATTTACGAATAAATTGTTTAGCATTCACTGCTCATATAAGAGGAGTGATATTGCATAACAGTCCAGTACCGTTTTATTTGTTGCTAATGACATTTTCCCGTTTCTTGATATATAGCTTAGCTTTTTTGGAGACAAATTTTGCTATTCCAAAGTTTCGGATTTCAGCCTCACATTTTTTGTCTTCTGTAAAAACACTTCGGAGATATTTACATTTTTGTACTTGCTTGATTTCGGTGTTACCAATTCGTAGTTAACA